TGCTAGGTTGTTCAGTTCGCGTTGGTATACATAGTGAACGTACCACGTACAAAGCATGCTTAGATCTCTGCTATTATTCGATTTTTTTTTGTACGCGGAAAAACTTGGATACGGACCTTGTGCTCTTGCTGTTTGCTTAGCGTACAATATGCACCTATGTGCTTTTGTAAAACACTACTACGGCTGTTGCATACGTGTACTTTATTCTTTTCTTAGAACTACATTGATATCATCAGAAGTAGATAAAATGGATGTACTTCTGATATCATGGCCTGCAGGTTACTGCTGTTTTACTATTTTATAACTTCCTTTGTCTTTTATCCAGGTTAGGAAGGCAGCGAGTGATGATACGCAGCACCAGCACGCCGCTGTGCGTCTAGCCACCAGACTGGTCCAGACAGCCCACAACTCACAGTTAGACCTCGACAGCCTCCGTCTCTATCTACACGGACTGCGCAACCAGTACCTTCAGCAAAGCAGCGACCAGGAGCAGCAGACAAACTCGCATGGTGACGATGTCACGATGGCAGCCAGCAGCCAGATTGATGCCGGCGAGGGCGGTGGGGTGTCGCTGGTAGCAGAGTGTGACCAGGGGCAACGAACGAGAGGTAATAACACAAGTGGCAGCTTAAAAATCGCCTGAAGTAGCAGCAGTGAAAGGCGTGAAAGGCAGCAGCGTCCAGCAGCAGCAGCTAGTATCAGTGAATGCAGGGAAGTCAGCAGCACCAGCAAGTATCAGTGAATGCAGGGAAGATAACAGCAGCGGCAGTGGTAGCTCTATTACTATAGCCCGCGTACAGTTGCCGCAGGCCTGTACGCGGGCTATAGTACTAGAGCTACGGCAGTGGAAGCCGGGAAGACAAAAGCACCAACAAGTGTCAGCGGAAGCACGAAAGACAGGAGTAGGAGCTTCTGACTGTAATTTCCTTATATTTATAACAACATAACATTAAGTTAAACGTATGTAGTCAATGAAAAATAAAATAGGCAGCTGGACATAAAGGGACAGGTACGTAGTCCATTTATAAAATGAATGCGTGTTGCATACAATGTAATTCACGTGAAAGGGGATCGAAGTTGAAAAAAATTGAGTGCAGTAGACTACTAATCTGACGTCATTACGATCCTTTGGGGAATGTGATCCTGCGGTAGAAAACTGCACGACCGTGACAAACAGATCAATCATGTAACAGTAAAACTCGCAGTCTAGGAAAACATGTTCGGTGTCAAAAATTCGTTATCAACACTTCACGAATTCGAATTTTACACAGCAAAAAATGAAGAAGAAACGGCTTTTTTGAATCTGCCTTTTTTGAGTAACCGGTATGAAACTACGAGACACGTCTATACAGGTCAACAGGTCGCGTTATGACACGCACGCACGCACGCACGCACGCACGCACGCACGCACACACACCACTCACGCACACACAAATCATTATATATTAATCCAGTATATATTATAATAACACGGTCGCTGCCAACACATGATCGTTTCTTCTGGAGCCCGCCGTCCATTTCTTAGTACACATTAATGCTGACCAACAGTTTGGTCCTAGGTGAACGCAGTAGTGGTACTAATGGGATGTTTAAACTTTGTATTAGAATCCCGAGGCATAAGATTCCCTCATTTGGGTCACAAACGCTGCCATCATGGAGCAATTCACTTATCCGAGATTATCTTAACACCGCAGCTCTGGAAGTGTCTTCTCACTCGTGGCAGCGCGAGTGTCAGGCGTTAACTAACCTCACCCTCTAATACAACACCCGTTTACCAGGAAACCAGCAGCACACTGTCGTATGTCCTTGTGCGCAGCAATCGTTTGAACCCGAACATTATGAGGGTCATATCTTTCAGCAGACGCATGAAGGTCGGTCGACCAGTGAACCGCGTTGCAGTGCCAACCAGTGAATTTGCAGTGCTATACGAACATGTTCGCAGGAAGTCGCGAGTTTATTCGCTTGTGCGTAACCATACCTTTGTTCAAATGAATACACATATTAAGTGAGTGAGAACTGTTAGTGAATTCTTAATGCTATAGGATCGATTCAGTAAGGCAAATCATGCGTTTTGATTATGTGCATCACTGCGCATCAGCTTGTGCTGATAAACTCTCTTACTACAGTAATCTATCGTAGCGCGCCTTTATTAGCACTGCACCTTTTAGCTGGTAGGGCACAAACCAATACACAGCTTACGTAACAATCCGCATGTTATAGATCAGAGAAAAGCAACTAGCATATGAATCAAATACGGAATCGATGAGTCAGGAGACACCGCGTCTTAGACAGCAGTAAAGGAAACCGGGGTCTTTTCCAGCGTGCAAGAGATATACAACGGGCGAGCAGGCAGTTAGCTAAGCCTTGTGCGAGAATTGTAATTTACCCGGGCACCCCCCCCCTCGACTCAGCACTCCATCATATCGTTTTATCAGCACTGCAGATTAATACCGTACGTTAGGGGACGGTAGAAAAAACCTTGTTCCTGCGAGTGAAACGCTTCAGTGTAACACCAGGTATGACCAACCTTACTGTGCACACACATACCATCAAGTGTATTAATCCTTCTTATATCTCTTGATACCATGCACGCTACGTCTGAAAGCAAGCACATTGTATACAACACGCACTCGTTAATTAGTCTGTATCGTATGTTACTTATTAACATTTTCTGATGTTTTCCATTTACAGAGAGACTGTCATACAGACTATGAACAGGCTGGATTATTTTTCATTTTATTACAACATACACACATCTGACCAGACTTTCACGCTTGCTCTTACAAACAATGCAACAACACTTACTGATTACCATTTTCCCAACACCAACAGAGTACTCACTTTCGAGTAACTCTTTGTTTCCCATAAAGAACCAAAAGACTAGCCACAATAGATGCACTGGAGCCTATTAGGCTAACAGGTCAACAGAATAATTGCCAGTCGGTTATACCACATGGCAGCACTATTGCGCGTTACCATAATGTACATATTCGTGCTACCAAAATTACGCCATCCAAAATCCTTTGTGACACACAACATATCAAGCAACCTGTGCTACAAATGTGCTTTGTTAAATAGGATAACTATAAATATCCCACTTACTGTCAGTTAGCAGTTTTTTTGCAGTCTACTAGTTGACAACTGCGGAACGTGCATGAAACAGTTTCACATTCTGTGATAAGTAAGTGATCACCAAACACTACGTAGCTATTGAAAACAATATAACAATTTTAGCAGATTACTTTGCAATTACCAAGGTACTGTTAACGCAGAAGCAAGAGTAAGTAGCCGGTCCACAGAAAGCCGCAGCCTTAGAGCAGCGGAATTGAATAATCAGACATCGAGTCGCCAAATTATAACTTAATTTTCACACTTGTATGCCCATAACCAGTTACATAATTTTTGGTTTTTGGGCAGTAAATAGCGATCGGTTACTAAAATTATACAGTACAGTATTGTCCAGCCGACAAATAAAGTTGCGTATGTAGATGAATTTTTTATATAAAGTCGATCTCGTTAAGTAGTACACAAATTTCAAAGGTCACAGAGAAAATTCCAAAAATAATGCGTATTATATGGGAGTGCCCACCCTAAGCACTGCTTCACTAAACGCGGACATTTTTCAGGCTGGCATCCAAGAATTGGACATTACCCCACTCTTTGCAATTTCCCATTATGTGTTCTGGTAGATACAGGCTTCAAAATTCATAAATCCCACAATTCGAGCTTAGAAATAAATGGCCAGTCACTTCCTATCATCCCACAGAGCAGGTACATTGAGTCTTAACGTCATGAATACAAACAGACAGTTTGGTCTAGTAGAGACGCAAGACCAGCGAACGACAAGTACCTGAACGCCGAGAAACACTACGATTTTTACGTAGTGCGTATGTTGCACAGTCTTGACTGCTTATCTGCAGTCAAATTCATTTATTTATAGCATGCCACACAAGTGAAGCGCCTTCGATATGCACCGACGGTTACGGTAATGCAGACGATTGCGACTAGGTTAACTTTTACTGTCTGCCCGATGGCCACTGAAAACCTGCACGTTTACATGAGTTCCTGACGCCGAGTTCCTTTCAATGAGATTATACTTTTTATAACAGATGGAGACTACTGGAAACAGGAGGCCAGGTGAATAAGACTGTTAAATCAACAATTTTATAAGTACATTGTGAGTAGAGTGAGCAATGGAACATTAGTGGTAGCTAGTAGCCTACCCATCTTTGTGTCGATTAGCAGTCAGTGTTTATTGGAGTAAGTCTGGCTACCATAATGAGAACGCTTTTATTGTTTGTTGATCCACTTGCTTACAATGTCATTGGGATCGTGTACTATCTACACTGCAAGCCACCGGTTGTAAGAATAAATAAGAAAGCATGCAATTAACATCTATATAATGTCTGCCTGCTCTTGAGTGAAGTCTGGCGTGCCGCCACAGTACGTAAATCCAGCTTGCATGCTGGAAAAATGAGTCTAAGCGTACTCAGTTGACACCTACACTAGCACGCAGCAAGTTTTTTCCTTGTGGGTACAGTCAATTTTTAACTTTTGCGATGGCCACCGAAGGGGGCAACAGTCACTTGCTCAAGGCGGCAGCAAACTTCACAACCAGCAGTGCGTATCGTTTAACCAACGACCAATGAGATCAGCATAGCGCGACTCCAGATGGCCAGTCGAAACTCACTTTACATATTGCAGTTAACAAATGTGGCAACACGTGCGGATGGGAGTGATGGCATCGTGGGGTGGGTGGGGCGAACTACTCATAATACAATGCGTTTTCCTGACCATTTTAACTGTCAGAAGCAGTCTGCGATCCACCAGCATGATAATATTACATCAGATATACCACGGGGGCTTAGCCTGTGTGTGTCTGGTGGCAGCACCATCATGTGGCCATAGCGTCTCTCATCGTCCAGTAGACGTGCTATCCTTGGTCACTTTTGTGTCGGGCCCCTCGTTGATTCACGTACTGAGTGGCAATTGCTGCCAGACTAAAGGGGGTGATGCATGTGCTGTGTGAATAGAGTAGTGGGTTGTCTTTATGTTTAGCGAACCGACTCAAGAGATTCCACATAGCAATCTGAATTACAGCCAGAAACATCCAATGAATCATAACTGAATCTTACTTCGACCATATTCAAGTCGAGCTGCACCGAACGATTTTATTGTGATATATATATGTTTTTTTCTATACGAAGTGAGGATTTCAGAATGTGCCAGGTGTCGGCGGGCTGGTTTGAACAGAAACAGCTCTTTGACTAATCAAGAAGCACAGAAAATAACACTGGCAATTGATAGATATAATTATTAGCACCGATGGTAATTTGACAGAAAACCGGGAATTGATTAAACAACTCAACGCGAACAACTGAATTATTCTCACTAAGGAACTTGGCAACGCTTCTATATCTTTTATTACTTACAATCATAAATGCCTCGCACTAACTGGATTGCAGCCAGTGAGCAGGAGCAGACTGGAAAGTATAAACACTTTGGATGATGGTTGAAGCGAGCGGCTCCTAGATCTGTCCTTCAGAATGTCTAGGCAGATGACTCCTGTACTGTAATGTTGCGGGGCTAGTGGTAATATACGTTTTTTGTTTTTCGCGAACGTAAGCGTGTCTGTAACCACTCGAAATTAGGGTGTTGCTCCTCGCTACGAGCCGATCTGAGGAAGATGTACAATTTCTCATATCAATTGTGATATCATACATTTAATCTCTATATATATATATATACTTATATATAGCAGCATCTATTTCTTTTCTATTATTTCAGATCAGGGTCGCGAATCACCTGTGGAGCGTTACTAATCAATACTATATATTGGGCTCAGAAAACTCATTTTCTATTTTCAATTAGGTGAACCACTCGTGGCCAATCGATACCAGAGATTTCCGCAGTAGACGAACCTTTGGTGGTCTTGAAGGGATATTCTGTCTGGAAATTATTATTATTTTTCTGAGAAAGAAGACACCACCCTCGTTAGCGGACCCTGGAGGTCCCAGGATCGGTCGACACCCACTTCTTTTTATAGATTGTCTTGTCCTCTTGGGTGCGCGAGCACTAACATTGTCATGAGGGCAAGAATTCTGTGTGGTGGCGATGATGGCCCAGCAGGAGACGGTCCAGGTTAGTGTGTGCCACCAAGCCATGCTTACGTTCCACCGGATGTGCTGATGGTACCCAAGTGATGAACATGTAATGCGTATATATGTGAATGGTAGTTGCACATAAATCCATCTTCTGTGCCTTCAATAG